AAAACTTTGCTTTGTCTTGATTTTTGCAGCTCCCAGAGTGTAATAGAGGCAAAATTTCARAGTATTGCTTCTGTCAACCCTTCAACAAAAGTGGACTTTCAAATGCTGCATAYGCTTAGTCATTCTGACTTCAATGCTCTCCTTTTTTTTCCCYTGCTGCATTGGTGAAYCAGTGGGACATGGACTAATTATACTTTTCAGGGACAGTGGACAATGATTATGGATTGTTGGATATGTTCCACTGTTTCTAGGGGCTTCCACATAACTTGAATGTTTACTCTTGGCTCCGGCTTGTCAGGCTCTTCTCTAAGCAGAGCATTTTGTTTGATAGAGCTGTGCTTATCAAAAGGAGGCGTATAGCAAAGCTTTTGGTGAATAAACAGAGCTTTTGAGCAGAGGCCTATTTGTGCTGCTGTTGCAGAAAGAACAATATTAATATTAAATCGCTGAACCAGAGTATTCCCAAGGAGATGGTGCAATGTAGAAGAATTTCAGAAAGCCATAGAATTTTTAGGCCACAYACCTCAATAGTAGTGTTGTGTAATTGTGTGGTGAGTTGGGGTGATGTTTCATGTATTATCTGTAAAAGCAAAGGAATGAGTAATTCTGTTAAAATGGGGCTRAAAAATGTGTCGTGAGACTTTGGCAGTAGCATTTTCTGAATGAGCTCTCCAAGTGCGATTTATATATGGAGCAGCTAGGTGATTTAAAATGCATGTTCTTTGGGATATCAGATTTGAATTTCTCAAAGCATGCATTTTCAAAATAACCAGAAATTGAGAACAGTTATTTCCTTGGATTTTTTTTTTTAAATGGTGAGTTTGTATTAAATTAGAAGAAAACTGTTTAGTAGAGCACCTGGTTGCTTACGGCTTGTGTTTGTGCAGGTTTACATCTCCTTTAATGCCTTTTTGCAGTCCCTCCCTGCTCCCATGGCCTGCAACTAATGCCCTGCAAGAGTCAGCACATGCTGTGAATAACTGAGAGTAACTGTGCTCTTCAGGTGTCCTGCTTGGGCAGCTGTYGGGCCCGAAGCACTGAGGTTCATGATGAAGTATTGGTAGCTAAAGTTGCCAGTCTGATTTTGATAAATTTTTTTGTTGTAAATAATCTTTTGGTATCTCCAATTCAGATGGTGAATTAGTGGGGAATAATCCGGGTACTGAAGATGTAAATGCTGAGTAATCATTCCCCACCATTAGCWACAAGTTGTRTGGCATAAATTTCCTTGATATTTAYCATATGAGTWCTTTTTCAATAGCTTTGAAACAAAGAATATGATGGCCTGATCGATAAAAATATAGCAAAAATAAAAATTTCTCACAGCAAACTTCTTTTGTTGCACGAAATTCATGACTGTTGGTGACTTATTTTAAAATTACTATGGAAAGCTAACTATTTCAGAAAACCACAATTACATGATGTGACTTCTGTCKGTGAGAACAGTATTTTTTAAATTTTATTTTTCAATTTTGATTTCATCCTGTGGTATTGCACAGCACTTTGCCACTTGTGGTTTTTTTAGGTGGCTGAAAATTGTGTTTTGTGGCTCACTTGAGGCATAATCAATGCAGTGTTGTGGATCCCTGTCAAGTCAGATGATAGTRGCAGAAGTATAGCTAGACAGAGCACACAGGTCACCAGCAAACAAGGGAAGACAAGGGGCCTTTTATTGGGCTTTGAATGCCTGCTTGAAATGGCTGCTGATGTTCAAAGCATTGTGTGCTGCTTCATAGAGAAATATGTGCCTTCATGGTTTCTTGTGTGCTAGTAAAGCGTCATAAAATATGGCTTTATGAAGGACCTAAGTCAGAATTGTGTAGGTTGGAAAAAACCTTTACGATCATCAAGCCCAACTGGAGTAGGAAGACAAAACAGCCTTTTTTTGGCATAAGCATGGTCTGAAATGCCCTTAGGAAGACGTGATTTACCCTTCATATTCCAGTCATGTTGTACACCCACTTGCAGTCTTATGGTTCATTTTCGTCATTCCCACTATCCAAGTCCAAAATACTCTTATGAGGGTCTGGTTTTGGTTTAAGACTTACCGATATTTAAGAACTTTAAAGAAATTGTACTTTCTATGATACCTCTTTAGGTAAGGACCTTACATGAAATTTAATTTGCATCCTGGTGCAGTAAATGTTTTACACTGTGTTTGTACAGCTCCTGCAGTCACACTGGTACAATGAGAATTTCTTGCTGAAGTGTGTGTGACTAAGTAGGTTGTGTGTTGTCCCTTAGTAAACCAGCAGCAGAGAAACACAGAGTTCTTGGCAGTTTGTTTAAATTAATTACAGCAGTGACTTAAGGCATATTCCACTTGTTATTTCTTTTTGTGGTTAGGTATTTAGAGGGAATTAGTTGCTCCAGGAAACACTTTTGGAAGCCTGCTTTCTGAAGGTTTGCAAAAATTGCAAAGCAGTGACAAGAGCTGATGCCTTTAAGAAGCTTGCATCATTTTAAACTAACAGGTGTTGTTCAGYACAGTCCTCCTCCGTTCTGTTTGCATATTCATAGAACTGTATCTACTATAGCTATGTAGCTGGTAATGATCTAAAGTCACACAGCACCTTGTTTTCTGAGTCCTCATAGAAATCCTCTGTAGTGGTCATGATGGCTTGTTTGACATGGAGTTGTGTCTGGGGTTTTTTTTGTTTGCTTGTTTTGGTTTTTTGGGTTTTTTTGTATTTTTTTTTTTGTTTGCTTCTTTATCCTTTCACTCTGAATGCTTAGGCACTTCAGGATGATGACGAAGGAGAAAACTGGGAGGTAGAAAGGTGAAAAACTGGGTTGTGGTTTGTTGCTGTGCGTTAATCTGCTCCAGGTTTCAGTGATATGGTAATTGTGATGAGTTTCTTTGATCTGTCTTGTTTTGGGTGGCAGGAAAAGGAGGAGTAATTGGATGGGCTGATATGGGTGGGGAAGAGGACCTCCTCTTTCATTTGCCAGCACCTCTCGGACTGGATGCAAACTGGTTATCATCGTACAGCCCAAGTGTTGCAGTGCTGGGTGCAGAATCAAGTAGGGGGTGTTGTAACCTTTGTCTTTCTGGTTGTCTGCAATTAAGCTCAGTTTTTCTTCAGTGTTTCCTGATGTTCTTTCCAATATTGAAGTTGGGAGGGGTCTGTGTGGATTTGAACACCACCAACACCTKCTGTTAGAGATTTTGTAACTAGCCAGAAGCAGGATCTCTCTTCCTCCTTGCAATCATATGACTGCTGCTTGTATAGTTATACTGACAAATGTAGCTATGGAAATACTACTGCTGGCCCACCTCAGACTATCCACTGCAAGTTTAAAGCTACACGCATAAATATTCTGACTTTATGTATTTTTTCAGCAAAAAGTAGTGAAAGATTGGTCCTATTAAAACAGTGATTTATGCGATTAGCTTTTACTTTAGAACAGACTTTCTTGACTAAGTTTATCTTCTAAGTTTGTGTGAAGTAGTATTAAACAAGTGTATTAAGTTTCGTTTTATCTGTTTCTATACTGCAAGTGATTGTTTGAGAACTCATGAGTGCATTGAACTTGACCCTTTTATGGAGTACAATTGCAGAATAAATGCAGAATAGCTGAGTTTATTTGAGGTAGGATCTGCTGATCTTAGATCTAAATTAACTATATAAATATTCATTTAAAATGTCTTTTGATCATTAGATCTGTTTCCTGTTGTTGTTTGTCTCTATCCAGTAGATGAKGATTATGTTGATAATAAGGACAGTTAAGTGTTGAACATGCAATCAGGCTATTTAGAACTGAAACATCAAGTATGAAMTACATAGTTATGATGTCTGTCTAATCTCTCTAATCCTGAGCAATCTTTGAAATTACCTATAAGATTTATCATGTTTGTCAACGAGCTCTCCCTGGCCAGGTAAAGAAGAAAACCTGTTTGGGGAAGATGCTGATGTGGAAGTATCACAGCTTCTACCTTGAGTTGCCAACTTTCAGAGCAATCAGTTATGCCGCTCTTGGTTGTTAAAGCCTGTGCCTCTCCTGAAGGTCACTGGGGACAATGTTGAAAACCTGACACTTGTAGGGATAGAGGGCATGTTTGTAGTAGGCATGTAAGAGGGCTGTTCCGGGCTATTTCAGAAAGGGCGTGGGAGGAAAGGGTATGCATCATAAAAACAAAGCTTTTTTTACTCTGCTTCTCTGGAAGAAACCTGTTCTAAAATGGCACTCTGATTTTTGAGGGCAGCTATTGTTTGGTGTTATTATTTGGGTGCATATTCAGGTTAATTGCAGAATACTCTGAAGTGCKTAAAATATTTTCAAGTTAAAACTCCTACATCTTGTTTAGTTTTGAGTACACCTTTCCTTTTGTTTTGGTCAGGAAATSAAGCATGAATGTACTGAGTATTTTGCAAATGGTTCAACTTTTGCTCTCTCACATCTACAATTAGAAAATCAATTTGGAGCAAAAGTATTTTTACCCCTTCTCTCATAGCATCACTCAAATTAAATGTGTGATACTGTAGAAATTGCATCATGGTAAAAAAAGGCTGTTGAAAACGTAGTTTCTGTACTCAAATAGTAATGGTTAGTATAAAGACTAAACCATGGATCGTTTAAAATCTACCATCTGAGGCTTWGGGCATATGGAATCTGTTGAAACAGTTTAAGCCCTGAAATACAGTAACGGAATGTGTAGAATTAGGTGAAGGTGAAGAATCTTAMAGATTACTAGTAGAAATAGGTGCTTTGCATTTCATGAATGCATTCTACAAATATTTTGTAAAAGGAATGTTGGATGGTGAAATTGGATGCTAGGATTTGCTTGCCCTTCTGTGACAGGTGGTCATTCAACTTTAGGTATTTATACCAGTACATGGTGCATCAGTCAGTTGTTACAGTAGCTCAGTTTGGAATATAAATTATGCAGCCACACACTTTAATGGTTTAACAGATTAACAATAGTAAACTTATATAGGTTTTGAATTAAGGTATTTTCTCTGATGAATCTGTGTTGTTGTGTTTGTTTTTTTATTAAGGTGTGCAAACAGATTTGGCTAGGCCTGTTTGATGATAGATCATCAGCAATTCCAGACTTCAGGGATCCACAGAAAGTAAAGGAATTTCTACAGGAAAAATATGAAAAGAAAAGATGGTAAGATACCTTTGCAATTATAAGGATTGCCTCTATGATGATAAGTGAAGATGGAGTGTTTCCTCTTAGTTTGAGTGCGCTTTCCTTCCTGTGTGCTCTTTGGACTAGATTGCACAGCTCTGTAAAGTGAAATGATTTCTGAACTTTATTCAGAGCTCTTACGTGAAGCAGAAAGGACAAACTAAAGAAGTTTCTTAGTGTTCATATTGATGGAACAGAAATGGCTTAAGAGGATGTCAACAACAGTGTAACAGTTTTGGAGACTATTACTTCCCATCCTATTTRTTAGGATGGGAAAGACATGTTTTGTATTGAGTAAGTGCTGAAAATATTGATGACTTTGAATTCTAGTCCATTTAAAAAAGAATTCTGGCCTATTTAAATCATGGGTATTATGCAAACTRCATAGAATCTATGGCAGGATTAGGGGTTCAGTAGCAAAGCTGAGATCTGTCATTTCTCACACTTTATACTTAGGMACATTGAGTGGAACTTCTCACATTAAATTTGTAAAAACCATTGCTCTTCTTAAATGTAGGTATGTTCCTCCAGAGCAAGCAAAGGTGGTGGCATCAGTCCATGCATCCATATCGGGGTCTTCTGCCAGTAGTACAAGCAGCACACCTGAGGTGAAGCCACTCAAATCTCTCTTGGGAGAAGCTGCACCCGCACTGCACTTAAACAAGGGCACGCCCAGCCAAGTAAGTAATGACAGAGCTCAGGAGCACAGAACTGTTCCGCAGTTTTTACTCTTTCAATGGCACAAAAATTCTTGCAATAACAACTGTGTGATCTGTGGGAACTAATATGATGGCTGCATTTTATGTATTTTATTGAAGTTATACATGTTTGTAGATTAAGGACTAAATTAAGTTTGTTTCTATTGACCAAATTGATTTTTTAGTGGTTATGTTTAGTAAGCAGGGTTTTCCAGGCAGGCATAAATATCTAAAGTTTGRACATAATGTGTTTTATTTTCATCTTTGTTTTTTCTGTTTGAAAAGAAGAATGACTGATGCCATGAGATTAGTAGTGAATATGTGGATGAAAGCCATGCCATGTTTATTATTGCTTCCTATGCATTCTGAAGCTGTATTAAGTGACTTTCAGGGGGCGTCTGTATGCTGTTATGTAAAGTCAAACAACACTATGTACTTAGCTTTCTAGAAGGAAGACAGCTTTTTTTGAAAACTGCCATCAGGATACAGGCAGCTCTTAAATGAACATCTCTTGGAACTCTAATAGTACAAATTTGCAACATCAASCATTACTATGAAATTCTTCAGTTTCTCTCTTCTTATGTGGAATTCTAATGATTTTTTCAGGATGTAGTGAAGAACTATTTTCCATMTTGTAAAAAGATCGAAAATATTTTGCGCAATATTTTTAGATAAGTACAAAATCTGAAGTTGCTAATAATACATTGCTACTTGATTCTTGTAGGTGCTATTAAACCATGTAAATATGCTGCAGACCACCTGTAAAAGCAAGASAAACAGCATAAATAGTCTTTCTCATATTATAGGAGGAGAGTGCTACATACAAGATCATAAACTTCAGGAACAAATGTCTTGTTAAAGAAATAAGCTTAGTCTAGCCTTCTAGTATTTTGTAAATGTCAGTTTACAAGATCACCTTTCTGTACTAGCTAATTGAAATGTTGTTTGTAGTCTCCTGTTGTAGTTCGATCTCAAGGACAGCAGCAACAAGAAAAGAAACAATTTGACCTCCTCAGTGACCTTGGCTCRGATATCTTTGCTGCTGCTCCTCCTCAGTCTACTGCTACAGCAAATTTTGCTAATTTTGCACACTTCAACAGTCATACAGGTAGGTATTTGGACTAGTGTGTCCCTTTAAAATGTTTAAAATGTAGTTTTAATTTTGGTGATCTTAGACTAAACTTCATGAGGTGTGTGTAATCTCTGTGCCTTAGGGATGCTGTATTGTTCAAGATTTCTTTCAGGGCTTTATAAAGAAAAGTTGAAGACATAAAAGCTGACAATTCTGCTTTTGGAAGTGGGAGTTGCTATAGCTATTTCCTAGGATATGTATGATTACACTGTTTCTGCCTACTACTAAACTTTAAATTCTTCCGGGGAGAGAGTGAGAGGATGAATAGCAAAATGTCGGGAAAAGCTGATATTAGACCTTCAATTTTCTTTCTGAAAATTGTAAGCATTTAGGAAAAGCAAGCAGATACATAGACTTTGAGTTCAAATGCATTGWTAACTGCCAGTTTTTCAAAAGAAAAACAGGCTTGCTCAGTTTAAAGAATGACCTCCTCTTTGGTGTGTCTGTCTGAAAGCAGTACTGTCCATGTGGGTAGTATTCTGCAGTTGCAGGAAGAATAAACAAGCCTTGAGCATATGTATTGAGTGAGGAAGGGGGATAGGCCTTGAATTCTTAGAGGATGACTTCAGCAAAGTATATTGAACCCTCTGGGTTTTCTTATTTTCCAAGCCAAAGATCTAGAGTCGGAGAAGTGTATCCTAAAGAAAAACTCAGTTCTGTGGTCACTGAAGTTTGTTGTTGCTAACTTGTGTTGTAGTTGTGGGAAAGTACCTTTGCCTGCCTGGTCTGAATGGGCTTTTCATCTGGTTGTTCTGAGAGAAATTATGATGCAGCTAAGCCACTCAGGATAGGGATTTCTTACAAATCAGTCCTGAAACTGTTAACAACCAAGATAAAGTGTCATGGATGTGACTTAAGAATCACACTTGAGGAACTAAGCAAAATACCGCAGATTTATCCAAGTTAATRTTGTGAAATAAATGGCTGAATTCAGTAACACTGCAACAGCACTTCTTATTCTGTGTATTCTGTAAAATCATTAAAATTAGATTTCACATTAATCATCTTTTTGGAGGTGTGTTTAACTGGGAGAACYTGTGCAGACTGGCCAATACTGTATAGTGTTACTGAAAAGGCTGCAGATGTTTTAATTATTTCTAATATTTTTTTTCCAAACTTGTTGCTGAATGAGCCTTTATTTATATACACTTAATTATTCTTTGTGCTTTTTAGGAGATGAAAATTCGATTAAAACGGTATTTCAATAGTATGTTCCAAATCTAGGTAAAATACCAGTGCATGTCTGCKGGGTAATTTTTAAAAGGATAAAAAGCTATAGGAACACTCCAGAATAAATATAATCTGAGGAAAGAATCTGTTAATTTCTGGTCACAAACTAACCATCGTGGTCATTCCCATGACTTCTTTCCATAAATGTTAGAGCCCAAAGCAATTTCAGGGCTAGTAAATCAGTTTCTAAAAGACAGAAACCTGATTCTGAGCTGTGATAGCTGAATGTGTATTGCAGACTTGTTACCTGAGGGTGTTCTGTGATTTGTGAGAGAGAGTAAAATGCTTGTAAGGCTTGTCTTGTGTGCAGCAACACCCGGGTAGTATTAGTGAAAGAAATAACAAAATGTTACAGACTCTTCCCTTTGGAACACAAGGAGGGTTGATGAGTCTGCCAGCTTTTGCAAAAATGAGTCTGAAATGCTCATTAAGGAGCTGTATAAACATGTAATTTTTGTTAGTAATTACACACTGCARCGGAGGATGGGAGAATTTGCACTTAGTCCAACACTACTTGCTTGAAGTTTATGGTCTGGTGTTCTTGTTTTAGGGCTTGGTTTTAGYTGTGCCTGTAGGGGATGGACTTTTTTCCCTTCATGTACATGATGGCGAGCTAAAAGAATCACTGAAGAGACCAGCCAACTTAAGATCTTTCAATATAAATTACTGAATGTAGCAGCTGATAGCAAAATATTAACAAACTTATGCTGTGATCCCTAAAGTGTAGGCATAAATCTTGAAAATTATGCAGGAACTACTGTTTGTGATATGCTTTCAAGTTCTTTAATATATTAAGCTGTCTCAGGATATTGTTGCTTATTTAAGGGGAAGCATATTAACCTTATGTTTACTGCCTGTATTTAATCTACACTGTTCTGTAATTTCTGCAAAATTGAGAATTTGTAGCTGGTATGTGACTGATTGCTCYGTAGTTTGTAGATTGGTGGTAGCAACAAGGATCAAAATTTTTGGCGTGTAGATTTCTTATAAACTAATGGAATGAAAGACCTACACAAAAGTTTTTAAAAAGATGTAGTGACACAGCACAATTCTGTCACAGATAACGTGGGAGAAAAGGCTTTAGCTAGAAAAAGCAAAAGTGTGGCATAGTCATTTTGTAGAGTTTTTTTACTACATGTATGTGTGACTTTTATTTTAGTTTTTTCTGGTTTGCAGTGTTTCATGCTTTTATTGCACACCAGGTAGTGCAAACCTTGCAGAAGGAACTCTGCAAACACTGTGGGTGCAGCTGGAATTGCCACGACTTGTGTTGTCATACCTGGCTTTAACACTGCCTTTTGTTGATCTGCAGTGTCCACAGCAGCTGTAAATCCATGGCAATCTGCACCCCTCTGCTGTCCCTGGGGTTGCTTAGGATTGTTCTTGGGTTTTTGTGTAGAACTGAATTTTGGAATTGGCAGTCTACATATTGCCCAGGTGCAGGAGACTACAAGTCTTGCCTGGTCTTTACCTTTGTGCCACAATTACGAAGGTTGAAACTTTACTGCATAAAATAAAGCAAGATTAATATCAGAGCACTCTGTTGAAAAGTCTTTACAGCCATGCTGTTTGAGCATGGGCTCACTTGAAAGTCATACTTTGTGCAATCAGCTGCTGCAGTAAAATAAAGTGTTCTGTAATGTAATACACTCTAGTTTTTAATTTGGACCCAAAAATATTTTATTGAAGATTCTTGACATAGTTTTCTGTTTGTGTGAGTGGTTAAAATGAATAATCTTGCCATTATTCTAGTAGTGACATTTATGTACGTAATCGTATTTGGTCAACTAAACATCARTCTCTCGTCTATCCAACTGAAGCATTAGGATGAAAGTACCACTTTCRTTTTAAAGTGAATTGTTAATCTATTCCTATTAAAAAACTACTGGTTTAATAACTGAAACAACTCAGACTTTGGAATTTGGAGTCTGTAAAATGCTGTTTGAACCAATACAGATGATATAAAAGAAGAATTTTTTGGTATTRTTTGTGTGAACTTTTTTTCTGCACACTTCAAAGGTGAAAATAACTTTTCCAAGATGTTGTTTTCTCTTTGTTATTTTTTTCCTCGTTGCTGACTCTCATGTTGTGGTGGGTTGACTTTCCCTGGTCCCAGGTGCCCATGGGGCTGGCTTACTCTCCCTTCAGCAGGGTGGCTGGAGAAGACACAAAAAATCTGATAAGTCCAGAGAAAGTTACTATCCTGAGCAAACCAGGCCTGTCTTAGTTTACTGACAATACAGCGTAGGATAGTGAAAAATAAAACCAAACCCACTTTCATTCCTTCTTGTGAGGCATAATTTTACTCCTGACCATTTTCGCTCCTCCTCATGAGCAGGCTGGGGAATGAGGGTTGCAGTTAGTTCATAAGATTTCATCTCTGTTGCTGCTTCTTCCTCACGCTGTTTCCCTGCTCCATTGTGGAGTGCGTTCCCCCACAGTGGGATATGGTCCTTCTCAAACTTCTTTGAACATGAGCTCTTTTCATGGGTGTCAGTTCTTTGAGAATTGCTCCAGCATGGGTCCTTTSCATGGGGTGCTGCCCTTCAGGCAGGGTCACAGCTCCTGCCAGAAAACCTGCTCSAGTGTGAGCTTTTTTCCATTAGCCACAGCTCCTACCGGGAGCCTGCTGTAGCAGGGGCTTTCCTGGGGCTCCTCATGTCCTCCCTTCCTGCTCTGGCGTGGCTCCTCCACAGGGAATGTGTTACACCGTGGTCCTTCATGGGCTGCAGTGGACAGCTTTCCTCATCATGGACTTCTCCGTGGAGCCTGGAGCATGTTCTTCCCTTCCTCTTAGCTGACCTTGGTGTCTGCAGCATTTTCTTTTGCATTTTCCTCACTCCTCTCTGTCACAGCTTCTGCACACTGGTTTTTAGTGTTTTTTTAAACACARTATCACCGAGGTGCCACCAGCATTGCTGATTGGCTCAGCTTTGGGCAGTGGCAGTGCAGTCTTGGAGCTGCTGCAGCTGTGCAGAAATGGGGGCAGCTTCTGTTCTCTCCTCACAGGGACCAGTCCTGCTGCTCCCTGCTGCCAAAACATGCCCTGTAAACCTGTGCTCATGCACACAGCTTTTTTAAAGTGGTATTGRGTCCAGTCAAACCTCACCCTCTCTCCCTGTGTACCCTGGGAAGGAAAATGCGTGCACTTTCCATTTGTTAGCAGCATTGTGGAATACAGTAGTTGTATTACAATGTCTTTTTAGTTCATAAATCTATAGTAYAGAGACTTTTGAATAGAAATTAGGTGAAATAATACAACTTCTAATTACCACTATCAGACTATTAAATTACAGTACTTAAGCAATCAGCATTATTTATTCTCTTTGTATATACTTTATCTGCAAAATCTCTCYAGAATAAACAAATTCCAACCTAAAAATACAGTGTATTGCCATCTATTATTCTAGAAGGTGTTTCTGAGCTTTCTTTAGATGGTAACTCAAGTTATCTATATAAAAAAGTTTGGTTTGCATTTGATTAAAACCTTTTTTTCCTTTCTTGCTTACAATAGAGTTGAAGGGTTTCTGTGGAGTTTATCAGGCAATTCCTGCAATGTAATTCCTGTTGAACCTGTAGATGCTTRAATGTCCAGCTGTTCAGAATTAGATTAGTGTTAACTTCTGTTTTCTCCTATAGTATGGCACAAAAGGAAGGCAAAAACTGAAATTCTRTTTGAAATTTCCTTGGATTTTATTTTGTGGATACTCTATGAATGCTATCTTCTTGACATTGGTATTGATTTTCCATATTTCTGTACTCTAATTTAGTTTTTTTAAAGACTGAATTTACCAGTTAAATGAAAATTAAAGGTAGTTAACTAACTATTATGTTAACTAACTACATAATAGTTTGTACACCTAGCCAGAACTGTTAAAGTGGTGCCAAACTAAATTCGCGTAAGGAACGAGCACTTGGTGTATGAGGAATTTGAATTGCCAGTATGTTACAAGAATAGTTTTTAATTTTTGTTTCCAAAGAAATGTTCAATTAGCCCACAAGTTTTAGTTTTCAAAACTGGTATTCTGGACTTTATGACTGTCTTTTCCTGAGCAGCCAGCGCTGCARACACTCCAGGGTTTAGCTGAAGTGGACTTCATCAGGTCATGGAGTTGTGAGTAGCAGCTTGTGTGAGAAGGGCAGAAGTAGCATTAACTGGTACAGCTCTGTGAAGGTGATTCGTGAAAGCTTGTTCAAAGACAACTTTCAGTTGTAGAATAACGTGTGTAATTTTCTTTGTGTAAAAGAAGCACGTGGTAGGACRTAAACCGTGGAGGCTGTCATGACCATGAATTCAGTTAATACATCTGTTTTTGTGTTTATTTCCCATATCCATTAACATGTTTTGTTCCTTTGCGATTTACAGCGCAGAACTCTGCCAATGCAGGTTTTGCAAACTTTGATGCATTTGGACAGTCTAGTGGCTCGAGTAATTTTGGAGGTTTCCCCACAGCAAGTCAGTCTCCTTTTCAGCCCCAAAATACAGGTAGAACTCCTAGCACTTTTGATTAATACCTAATTGAAATAATCCTTACCTTTGTGTTGGAAGGTACTGAAGTTGAGTTTTTCTTGCATCTGCCTGCTTTAATGCGATCAAGTCATCTGAAGCTCTGGGGAAACTCAAAATGAATTCCTTGTGTTTGGTGTTGATTTTTTTTTTCCCCTAATGCTACTCAGAAGTCTGATTTATGGCACTGTGTTTGTTAGCTCTACACCTGAAATAACTATGAAAAGAAAGAACTCTAATGCTTTTAATAACTATTGAATTGACTCTTCTAAGAGAAGCATTTCAGTAGATGGAAAAGGATATCACAGTACCAAAAAAGTGTGTGTCTATGCATATGTATAGCGTATGCACACACTTCAGTATGTTTGACTTCATGTGTAGAGCCTATTGCTAAGATTTATTTTGCTTTCCTTTAATTTGATCACGCTTTGGAACTTCTGCTTGAGTTTACACTTGCTGTTTGTCTAGATCTTTGGCTGACTGACTTTCTTTTCCTTTTTTTTTTTTTTCTTTTGAGTGTGGTGTTGTTTTAAACTTTTTTTTCAAATTTTCTTTCTCCCTTCTTATGTTAACTTTAACCCACACACAATTTCTGGCTGTCCAGCGTTCAGAACGCTTTCATCTAGCTGCAGTTTTGGTGAATTTACTTCAGCTTTTCCTCTCCAGGCTGTACACAGTAAGTTCCACGCAGTGGAAAACTCAGCTTGCTTCATTTTATGCCATTGTAGTATAGCACTTCCATTCCTACTGTTGCATATGTTTCAACTTGTTGATTAYGCTTTTAGAAAAATGTGTGTTCTGTAGAGTGAGTGGAATCATCAACCGAATGTTATGAAATGTGATAAACTTAATGGAACAATTCATTTAAATTTGAGTATGTGACCTGCCTAGATTAAATTGTCTGGACAAGGAAGAGATGGAAGCTCATGGTTTCATACTTGATCTGAAGTTCAGTTGTGTGGACCCACATCAGATTTCTAAAATTGATTTATGTATCTCTGACATCAGTGGAGACTTGTTATAAAAGAGCTGTGTTGTGTCTTCCCCCTCACCTCTTTCCTGATTGAATGTGGTCTAAAACTCTTGAGAACAGAGAACCAAACTCTATTCCTAAACCTGGGCATGAAATCATACAACTTTTGGACTTTCAGGCACTGTTTTTTGCTTGGGATGATGGCTGACATCTGAAGTGACTGAACCACTAAGTAAATACAAATAGTAGCTATTCATTAACCACATATGGTAGGGAAATGAAGCTTCTGTATTTTGAATATTAAAGATTAAGATAAATACATCTTTTTCTAGTAAGATTTTATTTTTGAAATTACTTTTAACAACWAAGAAACAGCATATAGTTTTCAAGATCAAATTATATATAGTTCGATTATATATATCGAACCATATATATTAGACTGATTTAAACTGTTGAAATTTGGGGTGTTTATCCCTGATGTGCAGACCAAAAAATATTATTATAATAATATTATAATTTTTTTTCTGATGACCCACTAAACTTTGAAGGCAATGGGAAAGAGTCTTAAATATGTAGGATGGGGCAGGCAAACACTTTGCCTCACATAACCACAAAGGGAGGGTTATTGTGCCATCAGTTACAGTTGGAGAGACTTTTTAATTTTGGAGCATTGATCATGTTTAACTTAATTTGTTACAGGTGGAAGTGCTGGATCAGTGAATGCTAACTTTGCCCACTTTGATAACTTCCCCAAATCCTCCAGTGCTGATTTTGGAGCCTTCAATGCTTCTCAGAGCAACGCCACAGCAACTGCAGCCAATAAAGCTGCAGTGAATAAACTGAATCTTCAGTCAGCTGACAAATATGCAGCTCTTGCTAATTTAGATAATATCTTCAGTGCAGGGCAAGGTATTAAACTTTATTCTTTGCCATGATTATTCTGTATAGTTATCACAAAGATGGCTGTGCTTATTGAAGTACTGTAACTGTGTTTCAAAATTTCTAAGTGATCAGTAGAATTTTGTGTCAGCGTATCCTTAATGTGCAAGATGTAAGTTTTGAGACTAACATCATTCCAAAAGCATGYCATTAAAAGGCTGCTTTTTGGGAACCTATTTCCCATCAAGATGAAGAATTCTAGTTAAAATATCTAAATAATTATGAATGCAATAATGAAAACATATAAAAATATAAATATATATTTTATATTTGTACTAAAACCTATAGTGGATGCTCTGGAATGGAGAGCTGCAGTTGTTGCAAAGAGCTGYGAGAGCAGGTTTCTTACCTCTCTGCCACAAAAAGATTTTGCTTTAGTTTTCATAAAGTATTAGAAGTGATGCTTGGATTTCATTGATTATAAATTAAGGGAAACAAACTGGTTATTCTGTTACTCAAATGTAGTTCTTCTGATATGTTATGAAAAGTTATGTTTGTTTGTACTGTAGAGGTTTGTTCTGAAACGGATTGTCTGAGGTTAGGTGTTCGTTATTTTTCTGGTTGAAGATGAATGGATTGTTTTTCCAGGAAAACAAAAGCTCCCTGGGGCTGCAGAGTACCTGTAGWAGCAGGACATTTTCCTAATAGCTAATGGCTTGTTAAACACTTTTTCCTCTATGCCCTAGTGCATATTTATTTTTTAAGTCTGCAACCGTCTGTGAACTTTCATAGTTCACAATGTCGGCAGGACACAGTGAAACCCTCTTCAGTATGTTTAATCTGCCTGCTTGCTTTCTTTCTAGGTGGGAGTGAGCAGGGAAGTGGCTTCAGCACAGCAGTGTCCTCAGCAGGCCCTGCCTTGTCAGCCCCCAATCAGTCAAGTGCATCTTCAGACAAGTACGCGGCGCTGGCGGAGCTGGACAGCGTGTTCAGCTCCACGGCCACCTCCAGTAACGCTTACACTGCCACCAGTAATGTCAGCAGGTACGCTGGCAGGGGCTGCCCAATTCCCACATTGACTGCAGTATGGCAGAAAAGTAGCTGGAAGTTGTTTCTAAAATCTGTTTCGTATCTGAGTAGGGAAGCATTTAATCAGTTAAGAGGTACTATTGAAAYTGCATCTTTTGTTTTAAATAATGGCAGTACTGATCGATAGGATATTCTAGGAATACTGTCAGCAGAATGTTCTCTGCACCTTTCTAGTCATGACATGCTAAACCTGGTAGATGGTAGCACTTTGCTCTGCAGAGTAGTTGCATGCGTACTCAAAATCATAGGATCATCCCTGAAAAAAAATCAGATATTTTTAGTGTAAATGATGCCCCCTGTTACTTTTTTTAGATCACTGAAGTGAGAATCACCAGATGCCTGTTAGTGGCTTGGTATTGCAAGTTGCTCCTAAGGCTTGTGCTTTGTAGCCTTTATGCTGTTGGCCTTTGCTCAATATTCCTTTTCCTGCTGTTGGTGGAGATGACCATTGCTCAGTACTAGTGTKTCTGACCCTGGCATCAGGGAGGTAAATTGCAGTCTGCAAACTGCACAGAAATGTTCATCCCCTTTGTTTTATATGCTGGCAATAATTTTAAATTGTATTCAGTTTTTAAACAAGCAATTCTGACTTCACTGAATGAATTGTACTGATTATTTCCAGCAATGCTTTTGGAACCGTACCTGTGGCTGCTACTGCACAGACACAGCCTGCATCTTCAAGTGTGCCTGCTCCATTTGGAGGTATGTAAGTGTTACTAACACTATTTGGGGATTGTAAGCGAGCAATCTGCTCATTTTTRGTTGAWAATGCTGTACTTTKATATTACTAATACTGAGTTAMAAAAGGTACTATTAACAAAAAMGTACTACTGTCAAAATAACTRATTTGAAATGTATGTTAAAAATTCYTAATGTTTCATGTGATTTTAGRTATTTATGTATCKTTGTATAAAGCTGYATCGACTTCATSTGAGTCAGATTGTCTGTTAGAGAAARATTACTTAATAAATGTCTTTAATCTTTCAGCAACACCTTCCACAAATCCATTTGTAGCTGCCCCTGTTGCCCCAGTGGCACCTTCAACAAATCCATTCCAGACCAATAGCCGAGGAGCAACAGGTTAGGAAAAAAAAAAATTGAGTGTTTGAGAAACTATTTTTAAAGAATTGCATTGATTCTTCTTTTTTCCTGTAACTGTATCATTTGTTCCTTAAAGATTTTCTGTATTATCTGTCCCTAGTCTATTTGACATGTTGTGTGTTTGGTTCAGTGTCAAGGTACAATTCTAGGATTTTAAATGGTGGCCATGAAAAATGTCAAAATGATCTGTTTGAGCTCTACCTATTCATWGTCCACGTATTGCCAGCTGGGTGCCTTCCAAAACTATAACCTTGGCTTTGAAATATGCTTTATAACAGGTAGCCCTGAAATCAGTGATCTTGAAAACCTTGCCGCTAGGCTGGTACACTCKTTTTTTTTCTTCCTKTCTTTATTTCAAAGTGTTGAAAGCTCTCAAAACCAAAGAGCTAGAGCCAGAACCAGGAAAGACAAGACTCTTGGGATGCTAGCTCCTCACCAGTCCACTTGCGCAGTACACTGGTGTCTCTTTTTTAAAGCATATGTGTAATCTTCACACTTATTTTTTATATTAATTTTCTGTATGAGGATTCTGTAGAATCCGTGGGGAAAACTTCATCACTTTTTAAAAAAAGCAAACTTGTTCTTCTTGAAAACTATGAACTTGAATTTAGATGGCTGCTAGCTAGGTTATGCTGATTTTCCCTTCAGAGCCACTGCTAAATTTTGAAACTTCGATGTGTTAGCTGGACTTCAACAGATCAAAATCTGCTGATGTGTGCATTTTGACATTGAGTTATGGTTTGCTCATTGATTTAAGTAGGCTGAATTAAAACTGAATTGGTAAACTTGTGTCCTCTGCTAAAATGAATTCTGTTTTCAGTCYCTTTTGAGATACTATGCAGCTAAACTTGTTTAGATATTTAATGCCCAAAATAYCGTTTTTTCTTTATTTTAATCTCATTCCTAAGAGGCTATTTTGGATCATTATAAAGAATTTCAGCCCCCTTAGATAAATTTCTTTGAGTATTGCAACTCTATCCTTCCCCCTTCTAAACAGCTGTCCCTGGCTTGCTGAGATTCCAAGCCTTTAGCAGCCATCCTGGCGTTCCATACTGGGTCATAGAGATAATATGTATGAGTAAAGACAATATTCAAGCCCTTTCAGTCTAAGGTGTACACTTATRGCTTGTCCTTTTATGTTTTCTTCCTGCATGGACTTTGCTGCTTATTACATGGGAGATCTATTTTATAGCACTTATTTCTAATGCTTTTCTTATACTGATCTATTGCTGGTCATGCTATTGATTAACTGTTTAGTACATATATGTGTATCTATTTCTCTCTCTCTTTATATATATATAACTAAGATATGACTGTTCAAGAGTGTATAAATGATTTGACATTGTCTGGTCTCTTTGTGGCTTCCATAAGGCCTCTCGGGAGCAATGCACTCTCACATATTTCCTCAGGCTCATTTTGGTAGGTGGCCACATTTGGTATCAAGTTTCTTGTGGCTAATTGTTCTTGCTTGTAAAAGCTTATTGACAGCTATCTGGTTCTCTGCACAAAGAGTTGTGGAATACTTGACTTGTTAAAAATGGAKTGGGTGTGGGTATTTGGCAATGGGGCAGAGGGAGAGAAGAGCATACACAGACATCCTGTCGAGCTACCAAAACAAAACCATTATTGATRCCTTCCATGAGCACCATATAGTGCTAATGAGTGACTGTTGAGGTCTCTGCCAACAGTAGTTTGATGCCTTTTGGGATATCCCAAGTCGCCTGCTGATTTTGTTGTGCTTCTGTTCGCTGTTTTACCAAGTTTGCCGTTTAGTAGCTTCTCTGCTCACTGTAGCTTGAGAACAGTGTTAGTAAATTAGTTTTGCGTGCACTTTGTCAACAGTTTGTCTGTATGTCTTGCTCTTGAGTACTTYTGGGGTAAATTTTTTCAACTGATAACTAAGCTATATTCATTAAATTAATTTTACTAGCTTTTTTAAACAGTCGAGCTTGCATAAAATCTGGCTTGTAACATTTAAAAAGAGAAGTCCTGTTTGGCTAGAATACCTGCACAGAATACCTGGTGTCTGTATTTGTACCACAAATCCTATTATACACGTCTCCTTTCAAGCATAACTCCCAAAAGACTGAATAATGGTTTTGTTACTGTACTGTAGCACCTAATGTGCTCCTGTATATTTGCTGAAGGCATGGGGAAATGCCTATGAGCTGTGTGTTCTTTACTTGAAATGTTCAGCAGAGAATCAGATGAAAAGTTTTGGGCTCTTTGTTTTAAGTTGTAACTTGACAGTAAGTGGGTTTGCAACAGGAACTTTGTGTGCAAATAATGTGCATGATGAGAAYTTCCTTAAAGACATTAAAGATGAGATGAACAAAGGGGATGCATGTATYCCTTTGATTTGTTTGGGTTTTTTTAGATTTATTACCTCCCGTAGTGCAGCTTGAAGTAGGAAGATCCTTTTRTGCTTTTCTCAGAAGGAGAAAAAGCAGAGGGCTTAGGCTGCCTGAACCTGCTTGCTTCTTATGTGTACAGACTCTACCAGAAAAACTGTGGGGGAAATACATGATAACATTGAGAAAAAGAAGTAATTTCCTCTTCAGAAAGYTTATCTGAATATGTTAGTTCTAGTAAATTTTAAGTAACTCCACTCATCTTTAAAGTGTGAAAGTAAATTGTGCATCCAGTTAGTGGTGATCCAAGTGAGCAAATCAGTTCAGTGGCTATAGAAGTTGAAACAAACTTTTCTCTGGTCACAGAGGGCATTAGAAGACTTTTAACGTGATCTTATAGTAATTTTTTCCATGGAAAAAAATGATTTCTTACAAATAATTGAGTGTTATTTTTTTGCCCATCAGCAGCAACATTTGGTACTGCGTCCATGAGCATGCCGGCAGGATTTGGAACTCCTGCCTCCTACAGTCTTCCTACTAGTTATAGTGGCAACTTCCAGCAGCCCACGTTCCCAACCCAGGCAGCTTTCCCTCAACAGACTGCTTTTGCTCAGCAGCCAAATGGTAGGTCTGCATGTTTTAGACAATCTTGTCTGAATCAGAAACATGGAGAAAATGATCTGTCTATAAGTTGGCAGTAATGGGTGGGTATTTATTTCTACATGAACTTGATAGTAATGTTGATGAAGGTTCCCACACTGTTTTGGCTCTGCAGCTGAGTTTTCTGACTTGGCTGTGTGAAATTGTGCAATGAAAACTGAAATTTTACCAAAACCTATAATAAAGTGGTAAGTATTCCCAAGCTTAAAAGGTTTCTAGGCAAGAAGATCTTTTTTGGAATGTCTGCAACACATTATTACACATTCTCTAACTTCACAGAACACAGGCATGAGAAAGGGGAAAAAGGCTTTCCAATTAAATTTATATGATATCGTAACATTGAAAAAAGTGCATATGTAGAAATTGGAGATTGGTGAGTTACAAACAGTTGAAAACAAAAAACTCAGCCACAGTTTTATACTTAATGTTCCTGATAATGTTTAAGTAAGATCAGTCCTGCTGATTCTGCAGTTCAAATTTCCACTTAATTTTGGCTGGGAGCTGCAGCAAAGAATTCTTTCAACATTGCTTACTTGTTCTAATATGTTTTATTTTTCTTTCCAAGGAGCAGGTTTTGCTGCATTTGGGCAAGCAAAGCCTGTAGTAACTCCTTTTGGACAAGTTGCAGCTGTTGGAGTATCTAGTAACCCTTTTATGGTGAGTTGTTGCATGTCAATGACTTCTCTATGTCCAAAGAAGAATAGTCTGTAACACTTAATTTAGAAATACACAAAGATTTGGGGGTTTTCCTTGCTTTTAATAAGGGAAGGCAGCATGTTACTCTCCTAATGCAGCTCACTATTCTGATGATAGGCCATTTGTAAGGATGTTCAGATCAAAGCAGAGAGATGTTTATACGTGTTCTCACAGTAGTGTAATTCCAGAGAAGTGCCAAAAAATAGACTGCGATATAAAACAGAAGTATTGCCCAGCAGGTTATTTTCTTTTTTATACATTCTGCATTTATGATTTACAATATGGGAAAAAATTCTTTAATACTTGCCTTATTTTTCTTCATTCCTTTTCCCCCAGGCTGGTGCACCAACAGGACAATTTCCGACAGGAAGCTCATCAACCAATCCTTTCTTATAGCCTTATAGACACTTTACCCAAAAGAACTCTTATGTGGTCACATAACATCTCTGCGCCTCTTGCACTGTTGTCTTGTTTCACTGATATTAGCTTTAAACACAAAAGAAGTCTTTAAGAAGTAAAAATAAAAGCCTGCATTGTGTACCTTTAAAAATTTTAAAAAGAAAAAAATACACCCAACACGAAAAAACCCAAGAAAACCAACCCCCCACCAGGTAATAACGTGCAAAACAGAGGGCTGTGGTAACATCCTTGAACCTGTGAAGTGGCAGGTAAAAAGTAGCGGTATCATGTATATTAAAATTGGCTAATAAGTTATTGCAGATACCACACTCATTATGCTGCAGTACTGTACATATTTTTCTTAGAAAATAGCTATTTGTGCATATCAGTATTTGTAACTTTAACACATTGTTATGTGAAAAATGTTACTGGGGAATAGATCAGCCACTTTAAGGTGCTGTTGTATCTCTTGGAATGAATGAGCTGCATCATTTTAACCMTTGGTATTGGAAGTCATGAAGTTAAATTGAAGGTTTGTTCATTTCTCAAAATGTTTTCCTTTCCTAAGAGCTCTTCTATTTATACATGCCTAAATCTCTAATGTTAGAGGGATACCTGTCTGCATAATAAAGCTGATCATGTTTTGCTACAGTTTGCAGGTGAAAAAATAAATATTAGAGAAAACAACTGTGTAGCATTATTTCTGTGCAGTAACATTTMTTGGATGAAAATGTACACACTGTGTCTTGTACACAGCTGAGGTGTCCATACAATACGTTTAAAGGTGAGTTAGGCTTAAAATTGTCACATACCTCACTTGRATATGTTTCTGTGTCCTTGTGGTGAAGCTTGCTGTTCTAGCTCAAGTGAAGTGGCCTGTCAAACAGGAGAGTGTTAGGGGAGCTTGGTTTATTTTGAAGGAATATCTGTAATGAAGGACACTGGAAGCACTGTGGAGAGTAATTTTTGGAGAAAAGGTTTGCTGCAAATGACACCTAATTATGGGTAACTAATAACAGGCTCTGAACAAGCCTTCGTTGTGGTCAGAACAGAATGTGTAACAGCAGGCCAAGGTACCACAGATGTAATAGCACTCTATTAAAAACTAATACATATCAGTAAGAGCTTTTGTGGAATATTAAATTTGTCTTTTTTTTGTTTTAATTTACAGAAATATTTCCTGCCATAGTGGAGTAAAATTTGTAGAGGGAAAAATGTCTTACTTGTCTTTTCTGAAATAGTAATAACGTTCAAGAAAAATACTACTGCATCAAAGTGGTTGGTGATAGTAATTTAAACAGAGGTAATTTGGCTAAAGTTCAAGTATAGTACTGGAACTAAGCAAATAATGTAGGTATATTGTGAATATATGAASTGCAAGCTTAAAGGCTGGAGAAAAAATTCTGACAGCTTTCGGGATAACAGGAATAAATAAGGTAAGATTGGTGTTTTTGAAAAAGAATGTGGAAGTCCRTTTGAGATAAACAGGAGAATTCTTCAAGGTAAGATATTTCACTTGTAATTGGCAGCCTGAATGTTAGATATGTTTTTCTAGGACATCTGAAAGGCTTGACCTCTGTTTGTAAAAACATTTATGCTTATGCTTTTGACATCTTTTGCCTGCCTATGAGGGTTGTAATTTCTWTTTGTATGTTTGTTTTTGTGTTTTAAATTTTGGAGATCCCAAGCAGGAGAAAGGCAGCTCATAAAACAAGCTGCTTGTAGCAGCTTTCCATACTTAAATGTCTGATTGGCTGTCCTGCTGGCATATTTAAAATTGACTTGAAGTCTCTCTTTTATTTCTGATGGAGACTGCTGGACAAAAGTACAGTTTAGTTTCCAGCATTATCTGGGGAATTCACTAAACAAGTCCCCAGCAGCTGGGGGTTTGCAAGGTATTAGTGACACCCATACTCAAACCACAGTGTAAGTTTTAATTCTTCCCTGTTGCTAACCTTGGCAACCTTGGCTGTTTTTGGATAGTAGCAGGTAAATACAGGAGAGAGTGGGGAGCTGCAAGGATTCAGCAGGGCTTTTGGAGCACTTAAAAATGCTTAGTGCAGGGAACTGGACCAGATCAAAGAGATGTCTTGTCAATGAGATGAACAGTGTTATGAAAGGTGAGCAACTCTCTGCCCTCTTCACTTCTATTGGTGTAAATTATGCTTTGGGTGAAGGTTTATGAGATCAGCATCTGTAGAAATTGTTCTGATCCAAATATTACTGCTGAGAGACTGAAATTGATTCAAGTATGCAAGACATAGTTTCAGAATAAGCTATGGAAGTAGCAGAACACCTTATTTTTCATAACTGGGTAAATGCAGATAAAAGTTTTGCAACTTTTGGCTATMCACAATCACATCTCTTTAGTCTGTGTTCACTAATTTTAGGATTGTCAAGTTCCAGACATGTAGCTGCAGATCTTGTATCATTTTGAGTCTTCTTTATTTTGGGCAAAAACTGACAAAATAAGTGTTTTGTTGATTAGGTTGTAAATGTAGCTGAATTTACAAAATTAATTATTCACCCCTGATTTTAAATGGTTTTATCTTGGAAACCTCTACAGTTGTCCCCACAATTCTTCGTGGATGTAGCATAGTTTCTTAAAAGTGGTATTTTTTTGCTTTAGCATCAGAGCACTTCACTTGGTAACTTTAGGCCTCTTATAGAGAAATTAATCTAAAGACCTCCTTGATTATACTTTAATCCTAAAACATACGTGGTTATGTGTGTAAGAAGATGTTACACTTGCAGGACTATCTTGAGTTCTTTAAGGCAAATGTGATGTCCAGGTTCTGCAATTCAGAGTTTAGTGGCAGCAAACATCCAAGCACCATGTTGAAATAAATGCTGAAGCAAAAAATAATACARACCCCCACCAAATTTAGTTGGAATTCCTGAAAGTATAAATACAACACTCTTCTTCTGTGTTCTGCTGTCTTGAAGCGAAAACTTACTGGGACATAAAGACAAGCTCAAAAAAGCTTGAAAGTATGTTCTGAAAGGAATTGATGATTTTGTGAGATGACTTGGGTCAGTTATTTCTGAGTCTTGACAAATATTCAAGTTGTAATAAAGGAACACAGTGGGACTTAACTGCTGTCTGATGCACTTGGCTACAAAGTGGACCTTACTGCACAGATGGAAGAAATTCCTTCTTTAGTCATTAAAACTGAGTCATGTTATTAAAGACTGCCCTGTACAGCATTTAAAGTGTCTCCCCATGAAAAAATTAAGTTTGTTTAGGAGGTTCTTTGCTTTCCAAGATAAGTGTACGTGGGTCATGGCAGCTGACAGACATTGTTAATGCGTGTGCTTATCGAGACAAACACTCAAAGGGAAGGTCAGTGTGTTTTATTCATACTTCTTCAATAACCAGTAAAGCTGTCACTGCTTCAGTAGCAGTTTATCTGTATGTAATAACCTGTTTTCCTTTAAGTCATGTAACTTCTTGTTTCCAAACAATGCGTTGTCTGTGTGAAATGGCTGCATTTGGGCATTGGTAWATTCAACTGGCAGTATTGCTGTACTAGATCACATGGTAGTAACCCATCATTGAGCATACAGAGGTAGCATTTTGTGGGGAAAAAAGGGGGGTTTGATATTTGTTAAGTTGCTTAAAAAGTGGATGTCAGCTTCCAGTTGAAAAGGCTTTAAGTCTTCCAAAGGCCTCTGTGACTGGCTCTGCAGCAGGTCATTGGTACAACTGCTGCTTTAGATTCTGGGCATGTTGGAAGGTCTTATGTCAGTAACTAAATTGCCTTAAACTGAAATACTCAGTAGAGGGAAAGTTCCAGGGATTTTCTGTAGGTTTCTCTGGTGTGAGGTGCAGGCATCTGCGTGTACGTATGCTCACTGAGCATTAATAGAAGTTTGTGTGTTGCATCATTAAACTTGAATTAAAACTCTGTTTGAGGAATGTTTGTATTAAACTGCTGGTGAATAAAATGGACCAAATGCATCATCCTCTTGACAAAGCTCTCTGTGCAGCAACCTCATAAGCAGCCTGCTTTGACCTGGACCACTTCTGCKTGATTGAACGTTGTATTTCTCGTAATTTGTTGTCCAGATGATGGAGCCTTCTGCACCGTTGCTTGTAACCATTGGTTTTGTCTCCTTTGTTACTGGACAGTGCTTTCAGCAACCACACTTGCATTTCCACATTTGATTGAGATGATGGTGCATATGCTTCTGATCAGGAAAATTCCAGCTATGACTGTGAAGTAGCAGCCATAAATGAGAAACTGGGAAATGGATGTGGGGAAGGAGGAGAAAAGTTATTATCTAACAGCAAAAGCAGTTTCTGACGTTTCTGACTCCAAGGGGTGTTCTTCCATTTCTGCCTCCCTTTCTCTTCCCTGTCACTTGTGCCCAGAATGACCCCATCTTGAAAGGACTCAAGAAGTCTKGACAGGCATGACTTAACACTATAGGAATTCTGTGATTATAAAAGGGAGAGAGATTGTTCTGTTACATACTTCCCCACCTCAGTAAGGGGAGGACAGCTGTCCTGCGCTCAGTCTTTTCTCTGAAAAGATGAAAGCTAGAGACTTAGACTCATTCCGTGTCTAAATTTAACTTTAGAAATTTAACATGGAATTGCAATGAGTTAATTTTCAGAATTAGAGTAACTTAAAAGATGTATCCACTGAAACTGTGTAATTTAGAATTACCCTGGTAACAGACCCATAGATTGCCTTTTGGCTTGTTTCCTGCTTCTGATTAGGGTTTTTTGACCAGGAACTTGTGACTAGTAAGCCTTTAATTTAAAGAATACCCAGAGCAATAGGTGGTCATCYTTCCCCTCTGTTCTGTGAACATACCCATGGAATATTTTCTAGTCATCCTAGTAATGGGAGGCCTAGAGGATGAGCAGGTTGTAGKAGTTCACGCCAGTTCACTTTAAGTGAACCTTCTTCCAACTGAGTAACTGCCCTGAGCATGCCCATTACCAAAGGCTAATCTTGGAGAGGAGCCTGCTTTTGAAGGAGAGTAGGGGAACTAAGCAGCGGGGACTCGGTGGCTTACCTGAGTGCTGATATCCAGTTGCAGGACTTTTGTATCTACTACAACAATTGTTAAAATCGTCTGAATCAGCAGTGCAACAAAGCTGTTGAAGCCAAAGATCAAAGCATAATGCTCCATGCTGAGGTTGACAGCAATCTGAAATCTGACARTGAATGCAAAGGTTCACTAAACTATGGAGAGCAAGGATGGGTGCACTTACGGGAGCAGTTTAATGTGCACCGTGCACTCTTCAAAGGACAAGGTCACTTTAATCTTTGCTATGAAGCTTTAAGCTTCATTTTGGGATTTCTTGGTCTTTTCYGGCTTTGTGACTTCTGTGCAACCTATGAGTGAATATTTTTACTAAATACCTGTGTGTATTTACTGGATCACTATGRGAATACACTCATACACTGATCATTGAATAGCCAAGTGTAGAAGCTACCTTGTTCTGATTTGGAGTGTACTGTGGTAATGGTTAGGTAATGTAATTTTAACSAGTTTTATATAGGCTAGAAACGATATATGATACTGTTACAGCCTTATAAAATTTCTATCTAGGGAGATGTCCAGTAAAAATTTGATAAATATAAAAATAYGGCACTGATTTTAATCAGTTTAATTAGAACAACTGTGTTGTACTTACGTTGCTATTGTTATAAGGACCATATAGGAAGCTTTAAATGCAAGGTAAGCAGCATAACAGGCCCAGATGCTGTCAGTGAAGTGCATGAGAAGTAGAGAACCAGCATCCAGTGCAGAGAAAATTGCCAAAACCAGTTCTCCAGAGAGATCCCAGTTTACTTTGATATATCCAACTGCAATAGTTGTTGCTGAACCTAAAAATTGAAACGTAGTAATTACAACTGGGAAACATCATTGAGAACCATTGCATAATTGTCATCAGATCATGCCGGGAGCTCTTCAGTCTTGGTCATGGTGGGCTTTGGTAATGGTGTGTATTATATTAACTGTTAGTGGCATGGGAATCTTCCACTTGTTTGGGTGTTTTCCTCCTTGCTTACAAACCCTTCACTGACTAAAGTGCTCTGGGAAAGTGCCTCATGCCTGAGGCTGGAGGCGCACTGCACAGTCTATTGTTGCTCCTTTTTTGGTGAACTATGAGCAAAGAGAAGAACAGTCTGAGCATTTTCTGCCAAAATATGCATAATGAGTTTAGCTACTTCATGTGAAGTGTCTCATGGGATAAAAATCTGTAGCACTTCATGCTTGCTTTTTTTTTTTTTCAATTTGTGGTGAAAAGCCTTATGAGCGGCATTTGTTAGAGCCTTATTGACCAGCACATGTAGCAAACCCCTTGCTTGGGTGTATTACAATGTAGCAAACTCCATATTTTTAGGCAGGSTAGCACAAACCTGGACTTTGCTGGTTGTATATGCTTTTCGTCAGAATTGCAAAAGTTAGCACAAACCAGCCCCTTTGGTCCATTTCTGCTATGAGCAGAGGTTCCCAATAATGTGAGTGTCTTCTGTACTCTCAAACTGTGTTAAGTGCTGCAGGGTGTAAATGCAAGAAACCCTTTAGGAACACTACTCAAAGCCTTCTCTGAGAAGTTCTGCAGTAGCTTCAGTAAAATGGATTTTCATGCTGATTGCAGGGAGGAAGAGTAAACTGACAGTTCCATATAGAAGTGTGGGATACACCTGGAGTGATGGGAGACAGCTGCGTAAATGGGAGCTCCAAAAGGAGGCTGTATTGGTATTGCACAGCTATGTAAATGGAGTTTCACCRGGCTCTTCTAAGAAGGAAAAGCTTATTTATATATGGTTTTAAAGCCTATTTTTGAAGAGCCCACTGATACGAGTTTATATAAAAACATGCTTTGCACACTGTTTGGTTTTATCTCTCACAGCCTGTTTACTTTGGTCCTCATAGGAGATGGAAAGGCACCAAAGACATTGCTGAAGAATCCCCTCTGCACTGGATGTGTTACAAGTACCATGGTAATGATCTTTTTGCTTACCTAACAAAGTTGCTATTGCTTCGACAGCTCCGTTGTACACGATGGAGCTGTAAGAGGGCGCTCGGAAGTCCCACAGCACCTGGACGTAATTCACGACCTGGTTGAAGCCGGCTGTGGCCAGAGCCCACCACAGGGACCAGTAGAGGAGTTTGTGGGAGCTGTAGCAAYGGCACAGGTCCTTGCTGAGCTGCAGCAGCACGCTGAGCATGGCACTGTGGGACCTGGCATCGGCAGCCTGGTGCCAGGGGGTCACGCCCATGGCAGCAGCATCGAAGCTGTTGCCCTGTGAGGAGCTCGAGAGCCTGGGGGAAGTGTCCGGAACCACCCTTTTGTCAGGCCCTGGAGGAGGCTTGGCAGCGTCTTTCCTGTGGAAGAATATGCTCTCCTGGGGCATGGGCAGGAACAGTGAGCACAGGAACGCCAGGCATGCAGAAACCAAGGTGATGGCRTTGAGGTAGTGGTAGGAGATGTCTGCTACAGACACCAGCAGCTGTCCCAGCAGGGCAGCCAGAGTGGCTGACACCATGGTGACGTTCCTGCAGTAGTTGGTGGCCCTCTCATAGTATTCGGTGTTGACCACGCTGTAGATGTAGGCGTGATAGGCCACTTCRGCAGCTGTCACCATCCCATAGAAGAATTCCACCACCTGCATGGCCATCACTCCTTGTGCAAAGAGCAGCAGGATCCAGGTGATGATGAGGCTGATGCCCTGCAGGAGGAGGACGGGCTTGTARCGCACGTAGTCTGTGAACAGGAACACTGGGAAAAGGAGAGCGAGGTAGGAGTATGTCCAAACTGGGAGAATCTGGTTTGTAACCTAAAACAGAATAAAGGAGGAAATACTAAAAGAAACAAACAACACTGCACCCACTCTCCCAACTATTTAAATTATCCTTTCTGATGGGTTTTTGATGGTGTTGCTGAAACAACATAGTTATGATGATAGGAAACATTGAATTTTGTGGACAGTGAAGACAAACTACCTTAAGTTACAGGACTGTAGATTTACTGTTTAAGGAGCAAAGATAGTGATGCTACACTCCACTAAAGAAACGGGTAGATTGGCTTAAAAATTAATTCTAGTAAAGGCCTAAGAAGTAGGCAGGTTTTGATGTGTAGCTGTTTAAAGCAATTTCAACTTTGTGTAAGAGGTAAGTCAGTCTAGTTTCAAATCCTATTCCCTACAGTTGCTGAAAGTGAAGGCCTGTTTTGTTTTAACTTTTTATGTGAGTCATTGTATGCCTTTGGTCACCTCTTTCCCTAGTTAGATTTAAAAAAGGAAAGCAATGTGCCTGTAAGAGGGGGGAATTGGAACTGCATATAGTGTGTAGCTGCTGCTAGGTTATTGTACTGTCTGTTTTTTCCAATTAAAAAGGAAAGAAGTAAGGAAGTCTTGCAGTGAGTTTAAGTTGGRCTTCAATGCATAGATGCCTTGTAAAGAAAATCTATTTTTCTAAAACTGTTCGACATTTGTGTTGGAAGGTGCTGTTTGTGGTCACCAAAGCTCAGTGCTTGCCTGGGCAGTTTGGGCACACTTGGGGCAGGAATCCCCCTTTTAGATGCATGTCACAAAGCGACCTTTTTCAGTGACTGTAAGTTGCCTGTTTTGGGGACGTCTTGTCCTGTAATAGTGGGRCCTTTTGGGGTATCTATTCCTGATCACTTGTTCTCTCCTCAGGTAGTTATACTAGAAAGGAACTGTATCAAATGCTGGAGGAATGTTTTTTACTTCTGAACAGATCCTGGAATGAGTTGCATGGTGAGCACTGTATCTTTCTGTGTGACTTCTTCTGTTTCTCTGAACTTAGAATTACCACATGGAATTGACTCACTGGAWGTGAGTTTGGTTGAAAGAGCCAGTATCTGTACAATGCTTATTGTAAGGATTCTTGTTGAGATCAGAATTAAGGCATTGTATGATGCTGTATGTTTTATGTAAGAAATAAAGCTTCCCTTTGTGGTTAGAAAGAGCAGTAAAAAAGGGGGAGAAAAAAGCCCCACCCCCCCCCCCCCCCAACTAAATCTCAAATAATTTTTTGCAGCAAAAACCTTGAGTTGACAGTGTGCTGGTGGATTCTGCCTTAACATTTGCACATCAGGATTGACTGTTCTTCATATTAGCAGTATGTGGGTGTACCAAGCCTGTGTTTTCTAATTATACCATCAGCTCCATGACTCAGCCACGTGTTAACCATGTTCCCTTTTGTTGGGAGGTGTACTCCTGAAGCAGCCAGTGCTAAACACAGGAGCAGAGCAAGGAAACTTGCAGTGCATGCTTTTGTCAGAAAATCCCATTTTTTCTGAATGTGAACCTGACTTCCACAGGTAAATGAATGCATAAAATGTAGGAAATGTAGGAAATAAGCTTTACAGCTCATAAGGAGAAGGCTGCTTAGTTTTCTTATTATTTGAAATCTGTGTTGCTGTCGGCCTAATCAATTCMATGGGAAGTATAAATAAATGTCAGGGTTGCCCCTCCCCAGGGGGGTAGAAAAAGGAACTAGCTGACCTGATTTTGCCAAAAATACCAACCACCAGAGAGGTTTCAAAGTCCTAAGAATGTAGAGACTTTAAAGTTTGGASCTCCTACCAAAGAGGTGACTCCTTACTCATTTCTGGAAGCATCTTAAATATGAGTCTTCAGACAGAATATTCAACTTCGTCTTCCCTACAGTTACTGCTGTAAGGCCTAATGCTTTCAGCTTTTTAATTATTGCTTAAGAGTTTAGTTACATACTTCTTCAATTGTTAGGTTTTTGTCTGGTCCTATTAGATGGGGTATAAGAAAAGGTTCTGATGGCCTCATTGTGGTAAAAAATCCATTTGCACAGATGAGCACCGTGGGATAAATCCAGCTGTTGTCTATGGCTCCGTTGCAGCAATCCATAATCTACCTAAACAAAGGGAAAAGGTGGCAAAGGAATGAATAGATGCTCTTCGCAGTTGGTAAAAATTCATTTKCAAGTTTACTTTTTAACTAAACCTACACACACCCCCTTCGAGGGCTGTGGTGGTGGCATCCACTGTAACTGGACTTTGGGGGACGGGTGGCAGTGTGGCAGCCAAGGGCTGCCTGCTGTGGTGACTCAGCTGTCTGGCTGGTGTGCAGATATAACCAAACACCGATCTCAAGTTCTCCTGCACTGAGCTGCATGCCTGAATCTCCCCTTAGGTAGCGACACCTCTCGCAGTTACTCCTGAGGCTGAGATTCTTTGCTGCAACACATTCTTGGAAAGTGACTAACTGTGCTCCACCTTGAAATCTTGGCTAAGTCATATAAAGAATTTATTGCACATATCCAATCCTTTAGACAGAAGCAGTTGACTAAATCTGGAACTAGGAGGGTCTCAGCTGCACCCTGATTTCTTTCTGAGAGGAGATTAGAACCCAGTAGCTGAATGGAAAGGGGYCTCCCTGACAGTTTTATCTGATTCTGTCCTCTGCACTAAGTCAGGCACACCTTCCTGTTGAGTCTTGTTAAATCATTGTCACATTTACCACTGGACTTCATTGTATCRATAAAAGGCGATTTTGCTTCTGTCTTTTTGAGTGAAGTGCGTGACTCCAGCTGTGCCACGTGCCTAAGCCAATGTTCCTCTCACTGAGCCTCTCTGGCATCACTGCACTTGTAAATGAGCAACTGGGATCAAGGTGCATTGGCCCTGGTAAACTCTGTATTGTCTGCCAAAGGTTGTTCTCAGTGACGTGCCCTGGTTTCGGTGGCTGGGCTGYAGCAGAAGAATGAAGTTCCATCACAGTCTTATTGCTGAGTAAAGGAGTGGGTGAACTGTGAGATTAGATCTCGTTCTGTGTGCTCAAGGAGTTTTTTTTCTGTTGATTTGCAGCCTGCATCCCTAGTGACACAATRACAGTGCAAATGTTCTTGATGGCCAATAAAAGCCACCAGCCAGTTCAACCCATTGCAAGCTCAGTTTCTTCAAAATGCTTTAATATTCATCATGTTTCTTGCACTCCAGTCATTGGAGAGGGTAAAAAAAGATGCAGAAACTACCTGCTCATGGTACCTGCTCAGACTTAGAAAAGAGAAATACTTCACTTTTGAAAGTGATGATCGAAAGGAAAAGGAGACTTGTTTCTTCACTMTAGTTGGCAGCAAAAAGAAGTCCACAGAGATTTGATTTTTTAAGCTTATTTTACTTGTTTTATATTAAAAATTCAATTTCACTGATCCTGAAAACAAGTGAAACAATGTTTTCAATCATAAGCAAATGAAAGCACTAGCTGATGTTTAATCATGCTGTACAAGCTATTTCTTTTAAATGGCTGAATTCCATTTTATAGCAGGCACTGTTTCAAAAGTGCTTCTACTTGCACTGTGAGATTGTATTTATTAAAACTTAGCATAAATGGTATGTTATAAAGGCAGTATTTCTGTGACCTCAGAGGAAAGTTAGAAAAAGCAGCCCTAAACTTGAAATGTGATTTAAAAATATTGCTTMTGATTATCATCTTTCTCTTACAAATGATTGTAAATAACATGTTGCCTCTAGTGTCTTTAAGTCAAGATCTGATTTGAAATGTTTCGATAAAAATATAAAAATTAAACCCTGGGCTGATCAGTAACATCCACCTAAATCTTACATCACCTCCAAATGCACTGAGTGAATGAGTAGCCAGCACACACCCAGATAACTCCAAAGGTAATGAATTACCTGTCAAAAGCTCTGGCTGTGGTGCATTTCCTGTGGATTCAGGTGCAGTTCCTCCTAGGATGCCTTTGTCTTCCAGAGGAGAAGTCAGAAACCACCCTTTAGAGTTGGTGGTAGTAAGAAATTTCTGTAACTTTTTTTTCCAAAGAGTTCATTCTAGACTTGATAAAATGTTATCAGAATTTAAATAAGATTAATAACTCGTCAAGCTGTTCTTGCTTGCAGATCCTGTCCATGAAGATTGCAGGGAAAGCATTCTCCTTTACAGGTTTTGTCAGCAAACTGAGTTCCATATTTAAGATAAAACTATAAGATTCAYAGTAGCTAAAGATTAATAAAACCTGTTGTGACGAGAAAGCAATCAATGATTGCACTCTTTATGTTAATAAATACTTCTAAAAGCTCTGGTCTCTGATCCATGGATTAGACAGAGCACCAGTTTTACAGTTTGGGCTATCACTGTCTGCATCTCGTGCATAATGCAGAGTCCTCTGGACTCGGGGATCTCCTCTGACTGTCCTGGCTTTGCTGGGACTTTGGGTGGTAGGACATCAAAAGCCTCRTATTATTAGATGGCAAGGAGTTACTTCTATAGATGGATGGATCTGTCATTTAAGGACAAGGAAATAAGCTTCTAAATCTAGCTTATYTTATCTTAAGCTAAAAAATCAACAGGCTTGCTTCAGAGAAATGCTGCTGCTTTGCTTTCCTTTACCCATTTTTTTTTAGACTGGACTCCTGGTGTCTTCAATGGTTCATCAGAGGATGGAGTTCATCTTGAAGCTGTTGGTAGGATGTGTGTTGATCCTGGGAGCAGATGCTGAGGCCCTGGCAGGAGGGGCTCCTTTGTGAGCTCAACAGAGCCTGGTCTGGTCCTGCAGCTATGGAATGTTCCCTCGGTGCTCAAGTGTGTGCTGCAGCCAGGCAGGYGAGTGCTCAGGGGAGCCAGGCTTGCCTTTCCTTCATCCTCTTCCCTGGCCAAGGGCTTCTGAGGCAGGGAAAGAACCTTGGGAAGGGAAGGCGCTGCTGGGGCTGAAAGGGGCTCTGCTTGGTGTTTCTCTGGTAGCCCACACAGAGCTTGGGCAATGTCTGCATGCTTTGAATGCAAACACACTATTTGTTCCTTGTTTGCTCAAACCAGCCTTATCAGCTTGCTGGACTGTATCTTCACRTAAGATTTGTGCCCAAAGCCAGTAACGTTTCAAAGGTAATTAGTGTCTTATTTAGAGGGGGTTTCAGCTATGGGGAGGAATTTGCCCAGCTCTGGTTTCCATGTTTACATGGAAACATTTGACATGCTGGAAGAAAGGCAAACACTACTAAAAGCTGCTAGGAGAGGTGGATGTGTTGAGGATTTCCTTTTCCTGTAGGACTGGACAGCCTGTGGTTCCAGCCTTGCTYGTAACCTGCCAAGTCTCAGCTATCTCCTCTCCAGTGTGTGTGTGTGCAGGTACATGAACACACAGGTAGATGTGTACATCTCACTCTTTTAGAGGAAATCTTGGATTGCTGGGTGAGTTCTGATTTTCAACTGAATACCCAGGATAACACAAGGCCTTGCCTTTTTCCTCCTAGCAYTCCTAAGAGCTGCCCTCTTCCTTCCCTATTTCCCCCATAGCAGGCTGGCTACCTGCTAGCTTTCAACCTCAGAATCATTATTTTGGAGACTAGAGAGAACAGGCATAGATTATTTTTCTTTAAAATCTTATCTGTTTTCTAAAGATGGTATTCTCTAAAGCTGCAAGCCAATTATATTGTCAGTTCCTTTGCTCCTTAGTGGCATCTCACAGACACAGAAGGCAGTGAGCTCTAGCAGAACATAAGAACTTTTGTGGTTGGTTGTACTTGTTATTTTTAGTTCTAGTCTACTACTGGCATTATGTTTTTTTTAACAACAGCAAAAGGTTTCACTTGCTGTTGATTCCTTTCTGTTTGTCAAATATTGCATGGAAATAGTTGTTAACATTCAGTATCAATGGCAGTTTGAGACCATGGAGGTGAAAATAKGAAGTTCCTCTTTTTAATTTAAAAGTCTAGTTGAATTCTAATCCAGGATGGACATCTAGTTCTAAACTGGATGCCTCAAAAGATTCCTACYCACAAGGGAGAATAGAAAAAATAGTCCTTGCTCTCCTGGATTCTGTCCCTGTTTCTTCAGGCAGGAGCATCGTGCCTTCAGTTGATACTCAATGCTCAGTGGAGACCAAGTACATCTCCCACTTTTATGACTGCATTGCTTAAACTGCATTGGTGTTCCACTTAGAGCCTRTTTACAACAGTGAATGTCTGCCCAATGCACAGTAGTAAAGAAAAAGGCTAAAAAAATTCGCYAGGTTCATTTTGTCAGATCCTACTGATTCTTCTTGTGACTTGAAACAAATTGCTTCTGTCCTGCCTGCCCTTGCCTCTGGGCACTTTTTCTAGTTGCAGTGTGTGACAGTGGYGTGAAAAGCAGGTAGGTCTGTACAAATGATAGCTTGTGTCTCTACAGGAAAAATGTTATTCTGTAAATGCTTAGTGTTTTTTATTAGGTAGATGGAGATATTGGAAGCTAAAAGCAAACAGCAGTACAGAAATAACTTTAGCATATGGATATAGTTCACATCAAATTAGACATTCGCTATGCAAACTCATTTCTAGTCTCTTTTTTCTTATCCGGGACTGTCTTTTGGACTAAATTAGCTGTAGGACTTGAAGCTTCTTGACAAACTCTGAGATGCTGATCCTGCCAAATTCTTGGCCAAGAACAGTGGACCTCCCTCACTTGGCACTCAAAAGCACCCATGATGCTAGCTGTTTATTTCAGTTATAAATCATCCTGGATATTCCTGTTAATCTRGAATTTTCCTGTATGAAATCAGCTGTATTTCTCCATAATGTACTTCTCTGTTTTTAGTCTGTGCTACTTAAGCCCCTTGATATTTTTTCTTTTCGTGCTGAAAGAGGAAGACAGTCACTTGTGAATTTAATTTTACTGGAAGCACAAGCAAAGGAGTGGTRCTCTTTTATTTGTTTGGACTCTGAAGTTATTCCCTTCTCAGCAGAGGTTGCTGTGAAGCCAGTACAGTGTTTGCAGCTCTCAAATGTGGGCCAAGCAACAACTGTGGCATAGCAGTTTTGCATTGAATCTCCTGGGAAGGGTTGTGCAAGCCCTGCTTTTCACAGCCTGTGAGCACAGGGCTGTGGGATGAGACAGGAGGAGCCTGTCCCCCATCTGCCTGTACTGGGTATGAAAGAATATAATGATGCAAACACGATCCTTTCTTCCCTGGTCCAGAACAAGGCTGTGGAGAGGGGGTTCAGGCCCTTCAGCCAGTGCATCAGCAAATGTGATGGAAGCAGCTTTGCCAGTGCTGCATTCTAGAGTTTACAGTGAGCAAGACAGGGTGAGCTCTGCTTTCTGCAATCGTGCACGGTGGGATGCAAAGGCTCAGGTTCTGTGCGTAAATTACTGCCCTTGAGCTATTTCGAGGCATGTAAATAAGAATCTGAAGCAACTTATCTTTTATTCTTGGCACAGTGCCATTCTGGTGAGCTCTCTGCTGGCATATGTTGTGCTGAAGTGCTGGAATGATTCAGCACTGAGCTGAACGTTCTTCTTGCACTGCTGTTCCCTGCATGCTGCTCTTCTTCCCTGCTGGGAGCCCTTTTCCCAGGAGGGCCTGGCCAAGGAGCCTGCTGCCCTGCCTCCTACAGCCGTGTCGTGAAGCTTGTGACAATCTGCTCTCTTGCCTCGTGCTCAGCCTGGTTCAGCTGCTCTGTGCAACATCTCGCTGTTTTCCTTTGGCATTTGTGTGAGASCAGCACACAAATGCTTCTGATCATGAAAATCCCATGTATGACTGCGAAGTAGCTGCCATAAATTAAAAACTGGGAGAGGAGGAGAGAAAGGCAGAACAATTAATGRAAAACATGTTAGAGAAATGCTGTTTCTTCTGGAGATGGCAGTCACTCTGATTTTCTTATATTCTGGCAGTTTCTCTACACTTGAGTTTTTGCCTTGTGATTAAGGAAGATCTCAGCTTTTCAAGTAAATAGCAAATATTTGTGTAATGAAGAACTGCCCCTTTCTTCCATTCCTTATGCCTCTTAATAAATATCACACAGCGACATGGATAAGAACAGAATTCTTTTTTTCTGTTWGTGCAAAACATAGAAGTAGCTTCATTACCCACATGGTCATGAATAATCTATGTGAAAAGTCTGAGTTCATCCTGGTTTTGCTTTTGCACATTTCAATGCTGTCACCACAAAGCCTTCAGTAAAAACACTGTGATTTTATATTAGTATTTCCTACAATAGTGGCAAAGCTCTTTATCAAGTCCTACATATTTCTGTCTTTAATTTTAATTTCAATCTTTACTCTTTCGAAGTAATTTCTGCCTTCTCTGTGCACTGTGAATAGCTTTAGTCTTCTTCAGATCCATTAGAGTAGAAAGCTGCCCCAGCTGAGAGCCCATCTGAGAAAATGCAGAAGTCAGTAGGTTTCAGTTGACTTTAACATGAGTGACATTGGGYTGACTAAAGTTAGGGACACTAAGATAGGATATCCCATCCCAAATTAAGTGCCCGTGCTATGTGCAGATGACTCTATTATGCATACTGAGATACAGACCACGTTTCTCCTGAGCTGAAGTTAGAAGTTATTTGAGCTGAAATAATTTAAATAATCCAAACTGTGTCTCATAGTTTTGAACTCCCATTCTGCATCTGACAAAGCCAGTCTGAGCTTTTGGGAAGAGAGGATGTGTTGTTCAGTGTCCTATTAACTACCAAAACTGGTCAGATAGCAGGGTCTGGTTATGTTCTGCTGTATCTCTCTTTAAAAGGTCAAAGACCTGCATCTGTAATCCTAAATGCATTAAGAGGCAAAAGGGAAGAATGGTGACAAAKGATGATGAATGATAATGRAGAAAGACAAGCGAGARCAWGATAYCTGGATTACTATAGAGGAAAGAGGAATTAAGTTGTCCTTTGGCATAGGAATTTCTTTCTTGGTAAACTTTTGAAGATGGCTTGGCTGAGCAGTGAATAGGAAGTAAGGTAACAGCACTTACCTGAGTCACTATGTCCAATCCCAGGCCCCTTGAATCTACAACAACAATTGTGAGAATGGTCTGAATCAGCAGGGCAATGAAGTTGTTGAATCCAAACATCAGGGCATARCGTTCCATGCTCAGATTGACGGCGATCTGGAACCTGATGGGAGACTGGCAGGTCAGTCACTTCCCACTGGAAAGCTATTGCTGTCCATCAGTCAATGAAGAGAAAATGATTCATGGAGATGGGGCATGAAGGACAGAGGAAATGCTGCTTCATTTAGGCTGGGAATGCTCTATGCCTTTTTTCTGCATTCATGCAGTTCGTGGCATGCTAAAGGGTTTGTCAGTAGGGGGTCTAGACAAATGGTGATCCTATAGGATGTTTGTCAAGGTGTGCTTGTACCTATTGTTCACTTTGCATCTTTCATACCTGGAAGGAGGAAAACAGCTTCTACATTTTGCTGTTACCATTGCATTTAGAAATAAAGTTGCCTTGTTTAATTTCTAATTAGTTAAATGTTTGATGTCCTTTTGACAATTTTTCTTTCCTGGTTGTTTGGAAGAATGAAAACAGCATAACCAGACATTTAGGTGTCTTTGTCCTTACTTAAACAGTTGCATATAACATTAGGTCAGCTGCCTCTGAGGAAAAGGATGCCCAAAGCAAACTCAAAGTAGAGTCAGTATTCTGTGCATGATGGCAGCMCTGTGATGTTTTGTACTTACGTTGCTATTGTCAGGAGGAGCATATAGCATGCCTTGAAGATGAGATAGCCAGCATAACATGCCCAGATGTTGGTAGAAAAGTGCATGAGAAACAGACAACCGGCATCTATTGCAGAGAAGATCCCTAAAGCCAGTTCTCCAAAATGGTCCCAGTTAATCTTCACATATTGTACTAGGAAAGATGCTACTGAACCTAGAAAAAGAGAAAAAATATGTGTAAATGTTGTATCTCTTCCACAACCTGTACGACCAGGTCTTGCCACTCTCACATGTCAAAAGGCAATGCTGAATAATGAAGCAGAGTAGTCTGAAGTTTGAAAGCATTTCTACTGACTCCTGCAGCCAGGCAGATGACTGGTTCTTTTAAGATAACTGCATAAATCAAGTCTCTGCCATTCCCTTCCTAGTGTTTTATTCCACTTCACAGGATAAACTGTAATGTAGAAGTTTTCATTATTTAGATGTCTGTACCCAGCGTGTACCTCTGGGGAGAGAATTAGGAGCATGGTTTGGAGTTCAAGAAGGAAATTCTTCCAGCCTCTCCTAGCTGACTGCACAGCCAGGCTAGCAAAGCTTCTGTTATAACAGTTCACCTTTGTGTGCCTCATGGAAGGGGGGAWACCATCAAAGTGAGTTTTGAGGCATCAGGGAGGTGTATCCAAGGAAATGAGAAAGAATGGCTTTGCTTTTGGTGGGCTTCCTAGAAGATGCATATGCAAAGTTAAGCCATCTGACTGCCCATCTTAGGGGTCCCATACAATTAAAAAACTATACTTATATACCGAGAAATAGGCAAATCCATGAGAGAGATTCATTGAGGAGTCAATACTACAGGAGTGCTTCTAGTTCATKATTCACTTGATCTATTTAGTTGCCTACTGCAGGAGTAGTATCTGTTTCTCCTTAATGACTGTTASGATAACTTGAATGACCAGGAGTGATGCAGATGTGTTTGTTTTTCCCAGTAGAACACATCCCCCCATCTTGTGCAAGTTCTTCACAGCAGCAAAGTGTGAGCCAAGGCAGGGTAGTATCCTCTGATGTCACCTTTTGATAACCTTGCTTTGCTTTGTTTGCGTGGTGTGAGCATCTGCTCCTGGTGCAAAAGTGGAATGGTTCATATCAGTAGCATAAGGATACAACAGGGTCTTTTTTTCCCCCTGCAAATCTTTGTACTCTGCAATKACTATAATTTTTCTTTTTGTCTAGTTGCACAAGGGTATTTCACTAGGAAAATATCTTAACATGAGGATTATGTTCTTTTTGTGTACAATTTTTCTGACAAACTTCTCTCAACTGTGTAAGCTRATGGCATTGTTATGGAAACAGTGTAGTACTTGTTTTGGGAAAAAAACCCCCACCAAATAGCCTCATCCAAAGAAACCTGAATAGATTTATCAGCCAGATGCAATGTCTGTGTGACTTACATGCTTTCAGCATACTGGTAAGATAGAGTTATTTATCTGGTCCTAAAGAAAAACCAACATAACTCACAATTGAACTGTTGTACATCAATGAACTAGGCTGGGAATGCACAGAACGTTTAGGGAAGTGAAACTTCACAGAGTGTCCAAGTGATCGATATTTAGATATGGACTTACTCAGAAACGTTGCTATTGCTTCGACAGCTCCGTTGTACACTGCGGAGTTGTGAGAGGGTGCTCGGAAGTCCCACAGCACCTGGACGTAATTCACGACCTGGTTGAAGCCGGCTGTGGCCAGAGCCCACCACAGGGACCAGTAGAGGAGTTTGTGGGAGCTGTAGCAAYGGCACAGGTCCTTGCTGAGCTGCAGCAGCACGCTGAGCATGGCACTGTGGGACCTGGCATCGGCAGCCTGGTGCCAGGGGGTCACGCCCATGGCAGCAGCATCGAAGCTGTTGCCCTGTGAGGAGCTCGAGAGCCTGGGGGAAGTGTCCGGAACCACCCTTTTGTCAGGCCCTGGAGGAGGCTTGGCAGCGTCTTTCCTGTGGAAGAATATGCTCTCCTGGGGCATGGGCAGGAACAGTGAGCACAGGAAYGCCAGGSAYRCRGAAACCAAGSTGATGGCRTTGAGGTAGWRGTAGGAGATKTSTGCTAVRGACACCAGCAGCTGTCCCAGCASRGCRGCCASAGTGGCTGMCACCAKGGTGACRYTYCTGCAGTAGYTGGTGRCCCTCTSRTAGTRTTSGGYGTKGACCACGCTGTAGATGTAGGCATAATAGGCCACCTCAGAGGCTGTCACCATCCCATAGAAGAATTCCACCACCTGCATGGCCATCACTCCTTGTGCAAAGAGCAGCAGGATCCAGGTGATGATGAGGCTGATGCCCTGCAGGAGGAGGACGGGCTTGTAGCGCACGTAGTCTGTGAACAGGAACACTGGGAAAAGGAGAGCGAGGTAGGAGTATGTCCAAACTGGGAGAATCTGGTTTGTAACCTARAAYAGAAGAGGAAATGTCASTGTTTTTATTGTCTGGGAAAGGAACTTCATGTATTTTGAATGTTGTTACATAGGGAAATTTTTTCTCTGAAGGAATTCATAAAATATATAATCACATTGAATCAGCATGGGACTGTTGGGCAGGCAAATGGATCTTGGATCCATTAAATGGATCTTTTATTTATGCAGTCTGCTGCAAATGGTAACCTGCCAGAGCTAGTTAAAGTTGTGGGTTTTTTTTTTTTTTAATCCGTGTTTAAAAACTTTAAACAATGTTTTCTCTTTCTACTTTCACAACTTCAATTAAAAGAAATGGTAGAGTAAAATCATACCTCATCTGTAGTCAGGTTTTTATCTGGTCCTGTTAGGTAGGGTGTTAGGAATGGTTCTGATGGCCTCATCATGTAGAAGAATCCRTAGAGGCAGAGGATCAGGGTGGGAAAAGCCCAGTTGTTGGTTTTCTCTTTCTTCCARCAGCCCATGGCCTCTGCAGCAAAGCTGAGGAGAAAGTTTCTTAGAGTGATGGTATTGCCCATGCAACTGAAAAGAGCTCTTGCAATTCATTTTTATTTTGTGGCTTCTAATGCCAAGGAGTTCTCTTTAGAGAGTGACAGTTCAAAACCATTTTTATTTATAATGTTCAAGTGAGCAGATTTTCCYCACATTTGTCTGCAGTTCTCTTTGTAGAAAGTGCATAAAGAATGAATTGGAATATCTGTAACTGGGAGACAAAYGACCCTGTCATTCCATCTGCACTGGCCAGGATAAACACAGGAAAAGCCTTTCTAGATAGAAGTGGCTGAAGACAGCTGAGCACTGAGATTTCCCTCYACTCCATGACTGATCACAGCCAAGCACATTGTTGAATGACAAGGGAYGAGTTCACAATTGCTGTTTTTTCTCCTCTTCCTCCTAGATGTGCATTGCTTTCCTGTTATGGAGAGCTGGTCACTCTGGAGTCTGGCAGATGGGATTTGCTAATAAATACAGAAAGGATGTCAAGCCAGACTGTCATCTGGAATTATCTGCATCAGAACTCCAGTYTGGATACAGGCATCGTATTTTCCATGTATAAAAATGGCGACAGAAGGTTAACAGTCCATACTAAAATGAAATGAAGCAGATGTTTTTGTTCTTGTCACTAGGTGAGATGATGGAATAAATTAAAATTTGCAACTCTGCTGAACAGAGCCCAAAGAGAAGTCAAAAGGGGTGTAATGGTGGCATGCAAAGGAAATAGTAAGTTAATATCTATATTCATGTTTGTATAGGCAATGTCAAGAATCTTAATGTGTGCAGTTTATCTTTTAGAGCCCTTCAGAGTTTACTTATTAGTAGATGGGTTTTCTATCGCTCTGCTTTTGACTTTTATTTACTTCCCTCYTGAGAACTGCTTATGGGTTTTTTKGGTTTTTTTTAGGTGAAAGTTTAATCTTAAAAATGAAGTAATTTTTTTTTGCAAACTTTTTTGTAAAAGCTGAAGAAAGGTCTATTCAGCCAAAAGTGGTCATGTCCTGATGAGTACATAACTTCAGATTGGATGGGCATCCTTTTTTATAGGATGTGATATATATAAGGCAAGTAGGCATTATGCATCTTCTTTTCTAACTTCATGCTATAATAGCACTGACAGTCTGATGCACTAAGAAATGGATGCAGATCAAMGGGAATTTGAATTATTTCCTTTGCAGCAGAAGGGTGTGGACATTCCAGTATTTCCAGCAGAGATGAAGCAGCTGTGTCAGCTCTGCAGTGTGAACCACTAGATGGCAAGGTGACCCCAGCCAGGCAAAACGAGCTGGGGAGGATTGAGACACGGAGAGCTCCRGGAAGGAAGCATTGCTGCCCCTCCTTCCTCCCCAGCTGTTGTAACATCAGTTTGCTGCAAACGTGGCTTTGGCAGGACCAGTTTGGGCCCTGCCCAGGATGGTGCTCACTSAGTCACTGTAATATCCCCTGCTCTCCTCTCACATGGCAATCATTAAAGCCATTTGTGTGATTGGAACGCTTTGTGTGATTCTGAGAAAGGCATTGAAAAGAGTGGGATGGAGAGCATCTATAGTGCTGTAATGTCAAACATTTGTATGAGGTAGCTTTGGGACTCAGCCGGGGTATATTTTTCCCTTCCCAGCCCAGATTCTGTGCTTTGGTCTGTTTCAGCTCTTGCCCTGTTTGCTCTCCCTGCAGCAGGCTCTGTGTCCCAAAGGCAGCAGGTCTCACGKAGCCTTTCCAAATGTCCACTCCTTGGGATGTGGGTGGGGCAAGCTGCTGCCTCTGCGGGGCTCGCAGGGTTCCTGTGCTACCCCTCGGATGCTGCCCATCGGTGGCTTTGCCATCCTGTGCAGGAGGTCATGGTTTCACCTACGCACAGAAGAACTTCAGATGTGCCCTGGTCACTGCATCCCTGAGGTGCCAGCACATGCACTGTTTGGGGTTTTGGCTAGACCTGTACCTCTAATCTGCACTTTTACTCTTTGAGGTGCCAGTGTCAGGCTGTAGGCAGGTCAGGTGAGAAGTTTCCCACTTGATTTAAGGAGCTGTGCAGAAAAAAAACCTGTCAGTGGTGCTGAGCTAGGAAGGGCCCTGGGGCTCTCAGGGGCTCTCACTCTGCCCTTGGGGAGTGGGACATGGTGTCACCCCAGCTGCAGTGGGGTTTGTGTTCCCCTCAAACCCCAGTCCTTGGCCAGTGTGAGAGCCCCCCCAGCTCTGCAGCTGCTACACAGCCCCTCTGCTTCATAACCACAAACCTCTGACAACTCTGCCTTGGTGCTTAAGGGGGAAGGATCCAATTTGTTCTCTGTTCAGTYATCCCGTGTGGTCAATTTCTCCTTTATAAACCTAGGGTTTTCTTTAACTTTTGCAGAGATTTTAGGATGCCTTGGTGTTGTTCTGCAACAAAACAAACCTCTGTTTCTTGTTTCTTRGAGCAATTCTTGGTGCCAGAGCTGTCAGCTCTTCTACCACACAGCCCAAGCCAGCCCCCCAGTTCCCCATCAGATTGCTCTCTTCTTTCCTCCCACTTTCCCTTGTTATTGCAGGATTTCTGATTTCTAAAGTTCAAATATAATCATACCTTCTGCACTGGAGCTCTTCCTTTCTTACTTCCAAGGGAAAAGCCTCCTTTTAGTATTTCCAGTCCTACTTCTGGTTGTCCTGTGTGTATTGCACCTACTGGACTCTGGATTTTGTACTTTCCCTGTTTTTCTGGTATCACGGCTTACTTTGACATTTCCTTTGGAATGATCTCCAGCTGGGTTTCCTTCAGCTTCCGCATTCAGCACCCTTAAAGGAGCAGCCACATACTCCTGGCCTKTCTTTGCCCTAAGGCAGCCATAAATCAAGACCCAAACTACAGTTTGATGCCTGACGGCACAAAATCAATAGAGGTAGTTCTGTTTCCAAAGAATTTAGTTCTGTTTGACAGGATATGTGGCTTGGGAGCCATCTGTGCTTCAAACTGGCCTATATTAAAGAGGGAGCAGTAGCTATGCATGGGTAGTGACAATGGCGAGGGTGAGCAGATACCAGTGTTGTAAGATTGGAACATATCCAAACTATTTACAATGGGTTTCAAACTATTCTGACTAATTTAGAGAGTAAAAAGTAAAACACTCTGCTCCRTTTCCTCTTGATTTGCTGGTAAATTTGTCAGATTTTTTGCTTAAGTGGGTCCTCACAGTGCTGCTGAAGAGGRGTATGGCTCTATAGCCATCTTCAGAAGGTTCTGTGGGATTCACAACAGCAGAGTGTACTCTGCAAAATGTACGGATTTTCACAACACAAATCTAGATCCACTCCCATTCTGATCCCACAACATGCAGGTCTGGAATGAGGGATGTAATAATTATTTAGGAATATGACAAATAGAGTAGGAAAATGTAATTTGTAAACAGCAGTGAATTATCCAAAGTAAGACAGCTTCTTGGTTCATACACAGTAAAATGTAACTTCATGGACATGTACATGAGTAAAAAATATGTATGACATTCCCTGCTGGGTCAGATGAGTGTCCCAGCTCAGCCAGTCCTTTGCACTGGCCACATTTTGCAGTTTTTTTGTYTCCAATCCCTCAACAGTCAAAGTTCCATGATCAGTGATGCTAGAGGCGCCATCCTTGCCTCTCGCCTTTATAATTTGTTTATTGGCCTTTGTCTGTGAATTCATCTCCTCCCGCGTGGGACAGTGCTGTGTTCTTACGGAGTCATAGATTATCTCGAGCTGGGATGGAGTCATAAGGCTCATCATGTCCTATTCCCTTCTGCTCACAGGACTATCCCAGACTGCCCCATGTGACTCAGTGCGTCATCCAGACGCTCCTTGAATGCTGGCAGCCTCTGTAGTGTGTGTGAAAACAACACATGAAAGGAATGCAATAACTCACTTGGGCACTTTCCCAGCCCTTGGTCATCATCTGGCACTGATCCCRGAGCTGTCTTGGTTTTCCATGTTCTATTGAACCAGTAGCTACAGGAGGTGGCAGGCCSTCTGAGAACACTGTATACCTGCATTTGGTTTTATTCTCATGAATTCTTGCTAAAATGCAGAGAACAGTTGAGGGAAACAGTGTTACTTGAGGCTTGCGTAGACTTATTGAGGCAAGAATCCAACTCAAATGTCTTGACCCTGAGAATAACTGCAAAATTCTGCTTTTTCTGTAATGCAATAAAGAGAAAGAATGATTTAAGCAACTTCCAGGCATTGATGTTTGGTTTCTCTGCTTTCCGATCCCCTTTTGTCCTTTACTATCTGTTCTTTCCATAGTCTTCAGTCCATCTTGTTTGTAGTTAAAATTTCACGCTTTTTCCACTAATTCATATCTGAATGCCAAATGGAAGACTCTAAAACTGTGATGAGCTTCAGAGGGTTTTTGGTTGACTTGAACCCTGTGCCAAAGGTTCCTGCAGCAGAGCCTGGGTTTGAAGGGGACTGTGCTCCTTTCACTGACTTTAGTCAGAAGAAGTGTTGCTCTGCCTGGAGGGTTGGCTGGGGGATCTGTTTATAGMTGACATCCCAATTCTGTTCAGTTGGCAAAAGGAAGATTCTCTAGGAGTGGAAGAAAGGAGAGTTTTATGATAGAAGTGTATCCCAAAGACTTAATCTAATATGGTCTCTAATGAACCAAGGAGATAGGAAAAATTCTGAGAGGGGAAGGAAAAGAACAAAACTACAAACTTCGGGAATCCTGATACTTTCTCTTGCCTCTGCTGCCTCTTGGACTCAATCCTGAYATTATCTCTGGTGCTTCACAGGCTGGCACCAAGGCTGAGAGACTCATGTTGGCAGYGAGAAGTGTCTGGCTGGGCACTGACTTTCAGCTCACAAATCACAGCTGTTTCTTGACACCTGTCCAATTCAGACAAAGAGACTTCAAATCAAACTGAAGCCTTATTATTTTTGAAGAATGTGTACTATACTTTCTAAAGCAAGTGAYAGCAAAGAAAACTTTTCATGGCTAATACAAGATTTTTCTCCATTCGTGGCC